AACACCAAACAAAAGGCTGGAACAGAGTCCCATGTTAGATCACGTCTGAAACTCACTGTTATGATCATGCACTTTTGCTGGGCTTGAGTTGCTGGACTTGAGTTGTGTGTGTCCAGGTTCCTTCCAGAAGTCTAAATTATATATATATATTCTGGCTCGGATGGAATTTATAAACACCTGCTTGTCTCGGGAGGGAACTAAATTGGATGAGACAGTGAAACTCCAGAAAACCACAAAGTAGCACTAGATTTAACAACGTGGCCACCGAAGGTAAAGCAAAATGCAAAATAAAACTACCTGTATCTGATTCCTTTCCACCGAAGTCAACAATTGCCTTGTATCCACTTTAACACATAGCAGTTCCCAAAATAAATAAAACTTCCCAGCCACCACTGCAGAGGCTCCCGAAGGACCCTTCTTCTGTGCCTGCACAGATGCCCTTGATATGCCTGTTCCAAATAGTGTCATGAAACAGAAAAATTAATTTACACCGAGAAATAACACGTGTGAAGGAAATGGCTACAATATGTCATTGCAATAATATGGCATTAAAACACCATTTCTAGTACCCAATGCTTATGTTTTAAATCATTGACATCATCTGAGTCATTTCTACCTAAAGGGTGGTTGGAATGTGGAAGGAATAAGCCAACATATTGTTCAAACTGACATCCTGGCTTCCTTCAAGTTGGGATCTTTGAACATATAAATGTACTAATTACCAAAATAGCTAGATTGGAAAATGGCTTCAAGTACAGCACAGAGACACAGCTACACAGATTTACAGTGCAGCAGAGATATAGCTACACAGATTTACAGGATCTGTAAATCCTGTCAGTCCTGATCCTGTCAGTCCTGGTCTGTGAACTAAATTTCTGTCATTACAGTCACTGTAGCTGTGGAAAGTAAGCTGCATTTTTGGCAATTTTACTGCTTGGCTGTCATCCTGTAGGTGACGCTGTATTTGCAGGTGTCCTAGATCTCTGTAGAGCTGGTAGAAGCTGTTTAAACTGGTATTTAAACCAGTAACCAGTTGGTTTATCTCGCTTGTACATATAGTACTCCAGTCCTCCAGGACCAGGACTGGACACCCCACATACAGTATGTGCAGTATGTTTGCATGATGAGAGGAGGAAATATGTGATTTAGAGATTGGACATCTCTAATCAGGACATTGCTGTGACCAGCGAGAGATGTACTCTGACTCCCAGAGATGACTCAACTTGACTGGACCGCAGTCTCTCATGTCTCACGTCTGAGCTCTGAAGAGCAGACAAGACCTCACACCCTGAGCGAGGCTCCCTGCACACCCGACCATGAAACGCCTTCCAATCTCTGTGAGGCCACAGCACCTCAGTGCTACTGACACCAAAGAGGAGCATCAAAGTGGGAAAGATATCGCTGACATCGATCGACGCCTGAGACAAAGGTAGGTAACCCGAGGTTTTGCAACAGAAATATTGCCCTGGCTTGCAGTGCGCGAACTCTGATTTCCGATGCCTGACAAATGCAAACTCCCGATTCTCTCCCGTGCCAGAGAACACAGTATTTGTTTGCAAGACGCTGTCAGTCATTTCCGGAAGCTCGTTCTGTTCCCGCCCTGTTTTTTCTTCCCCAGCGTCATTCCCCACTGTGCTCACAGCTCCTAGTTTCCGTGTGGGAAGGCAGCTGCACATGGCAACAGGAGAGGAGGCGTGGCAACAGGAAAGGGGGCGTGGCAATAGGAGAGGAGGCGTAGCAACAGGAGAGGAGGCGTGGTAACAGGAAAGGGGGGCGTGGCAACAGGAGAGGAGGCGTGGCCATCGTGGATAGACGCGTCAGTCGTGCCTGCCACAGCCAATCAGAGAGTGGCCCCCGCCCTTCGTGCGTGATTGGCTCTTCGATTCCAGTTGGCGGCAAAGCCAAAGGGCGGGAAGGTGGAGGATACTGGTGTCTGGTGGCCGGAGAAAGACAGTGTTAAAGGAGAAGGAGCAGGTGTGTTGGGGCAGGGAGAGGCCGAGAGGAGTGACGTCAGGCGCACGGACTGCCTGTGAAAGCCACAGGGGGGGGGCAGGAGATGAGATGAAGCAGCTCAGGAGGTGCGATGGGCAGCCGGAAACACCTCTTTGTAGCTTCGGGGCCGTGTGACAGAGCTGAGTTCACACTCTGCCAGAAGAGCTGCGCTCCGGAGGTTAAAAATACTTTGCCGGGGGAAGGCGGGGGAGGAGGTGGTCGGCCTTCTTTTTACAGGGGCTCCTCACAATGGCTGCGCTGAATTCAGCAATGCCACATCAGAGGGCTCCTGGCGGATCTCAGCTGTGCTCTGCCTCCCTCGCCCTGCTGCACCTGTGCGGCCCCCCGGCCTCGCTGCGCCGGCTCCTGCCTCGGGCCAGAGCGCCTGCACGCACAGGAAATGCCTTGATCTGACAGGGGTTCCAGTGTGTCTCCGCTGCGAGATTTCTCAGAAAGAAAGGCCATTATTACAAGTGGGGAAAATGATCAGCTGTCAGCCTGTTGATCCGAACCCGATGCCAGCGTGGAATGACTGATAACCAGCTCGTACTCATACTCGACGCGCCCCTCTGAACTCCTGTGTCTCTACAGCAGAACTGGGGATTGGGATTTTTTAGTTTCCTGAGGCCCCTGAAAGGCACGGAGAGGATGATAGGTTTTTTGCCCTCTATGTAGGCTGTGTGTGGTGGAATCCAACATTGTCTCTTATCAGAGTGTCAGTGTATCAGAGTGTCAGACTGTCAGTTATCAGGGTGTCAGTGTGTAAATATCTCAGTGTATCAGCTCTTTACTCGCTGGCCGGCTCTCTTGCTAGCTTTCTCTCTGGTCTATTGTTCACAGTGTCAGTGTAACAGTGTATCAATATATCAGTGTGTTACTGGACCAGTGTGTCAGTATATTAGGCTCTCGGTATCTCAGAGTGTCAGTATCTCAGAGTGTCAGTTATCAGGGTGTCAGTGTGTAAATATCTCAGTGTATCAGCTCTTTACTCGCTGGCTGGCTCTCTTGCTAGCTTTCTCTCTGGTCTATTGTTCACAGTGTCAGTGTAACAGTGTATCAATATATCAGTGTGTTACTGGACCAGTGTGTCAGTATATTAGGCTCTCGGTATCTCAGAGTGTCAGTATCTCAGAGTGTCAGTTATCAGGGTGTCAGTGTGTAAATATCTCAGTGTATCAGCTCTTTACTCGCTGGCTGGCTCTCTTGCTATTTTTCTCTCTGGTCTATTGTTCACAGTGTTAGTGTAACAGTGTATCAATATATCAGTGTGATACTGGACCAGTGTGTCAGTATATTAGGCTTTCGGTATCTCAGACTGTCAGTTATCAGGGTGGGAGTGTGTAAATGTTTCAGTGTATCAGCTCTGTACACTGCTGCTGGCTCTCTGTCCGTTCACAGTGTCGTACACGTCTTGCAGTGCGAACTCCGTCTAGATCCATAGATCTGACTGTATGACCAGGGCCAAATGAGACAGCTGGACACTGGGTCTCTGTCATGGCAAACTGATGTTGAACGTTTGGACCTACTGTACAGGAACTCATTAAACTCCTCCCTCTTCTCTCTTCCTTATTCTACCTCTCTTCCTTTCTCTCTGGCTGGGTCACATCGAGCGAGGGAAAGAGAGACAGAGACACAGGCGCTGAGGGAGAGCAATGGAGAAGACGAGACCGAGGAAGAAGGAGAGACATGAGGTGCCGGAGACACACTCTCGAGGAAAAGCAGCTGAGACCTGCAGAGCCAGAGAGAAAGCGAAGAAAAACAGAAAGAGAGCGACAGACAGAGAGAGACGGCAGGAGAGAAAAGGAGGGACAGTGGTCATGGTTAATGACGAGATTTACGCTAATGCTAAATTCTCCAGAATCGCCACACCTGAGGGCCCAGCCTGCATTCTTCCTCTAACAAAGCAAGAACTTCCCAATAGTGAGTACAGCTCCCTCTCTGCTGCACTGGATCACTGTGATACTGTCTGTCTGCTGCACTGGAACACTGTGATACTGTCTGTCTGCTACACTGGAACACTGTGATACTGTCTGTCTGCTGCACTGGATCACTGTGATACTGTCTGTCTGCTACACTGGAACACTGTGATACTGTCTGTCTGCTACACTGGAACACAGTGATACTGTCTGTCTGCTGCACTGCTGCACTGTAACACTGTGATACTGTCTGTCTGCTGCACTGGAACACTGTGATACTGTCTGCTATGCTTTAACATTGATTATATGGTCTGTTACAATTTTGACACTGGTTCTGCTGTGTACTGTAACAGTGCTTTTACTGTTGGCTATACATCTCGTAGTTATTCTGCTATACTGCAGTGGTGCTATTGCAGTACTGTAACACTGTGACACTGTTTGTGTATTACATTGTGAAACACAGGCTGTGTGTCTGTGTTCTCAATAACTGTATGTTCATTACAATCTGTGCAGAAAAATCCTCCGACAGCTCTAAAATCTCTGTTTTTCTTTCATTCACTTTCCACGTTTGTCCCACCTTTGGCAGCTTGTTTCTTTGCTAACCCTTGTCTATTTTATTTTGCTACTTTCATTGTAATGTACTGTGGGAGCATAAGAGAACTGTCCAATATCTTCAACGTATTTTAAAATTAAATCTGAAATTATATGGAGGTTATACTTTTTAATCCCTTATATTTAACTTTATTATTTCTCAGCTGTTAGTAGAACAAAAGACGTTTGTGGCACGTTTATATAAATACACGTTTTCATATTTTTATTTGAATATTGCTCTGCTTTACAATAAAATTACCACTCAAACTTTAGGAGAAGATTTTAAACCCGTGACCGATTTCTGCTTTTGATAAATGCTAGAATGTGTTGTGCAGTTTGGCCGTGATCTAGTCAAAGAAATCATCAGCCTCTAATTCTCCATCGATGTGTCTCAGGTATAGTAAAACATACCTATGTGAGACAACTGATGATGAGGGAGAGGGTTGGTCTGTAATTGATGATTGTCCATTAAATCATAAAGCATATATTTTGACACTAGACATCAATATAGCAAATAATGCACATTCAACTGGAAAACATGATAGACACTTAACTGTCATAAACAGTAAAGCTACACTCAGCAATATAATGACTGAAATGTGCTGCTGCAAGGACAGCTGGTTGCACCAGGAGAGGAGCAGTGGTTCTGGGCTACGGTAGGACCCTGGGGTGGTCAGGAAGACAAACAGGCTGCAGCAGTGTGCGCAGACAGGCAGGCGCGTAGCTGGGAACCAAGAGCAGACCGATAGGTGGTCAGGCAGGCAAGGTTCCGGAGCCGAGAGATCAGCAAGTGCATTAAAGATATCCGAGGCAACATCGGTCAAGCAGACGGTCAGGGGCAACAGAGAGAATTCATGGGGCAGGCAGAAACACAGGAGGTGAGCCGAGAAGCGTGCCCAAAAACGAGCTGGGAAACTAAGACAGGAGAGCGAGAGACACCTCACACAATAGAGAACACCAGCCCCTTACGAAGTAATTGCTAAGAATGAGCAGGGAGATACAGTGGGTTAAAACACCATGCTGAGAAAAGGGGTAAGTGCTGTTTGGATACATTATGGTGGGACAGACAATCTTCCTGATCATGTTGTCACAGAAAATGGGCTGATTGGAAGATTGATTCATCTCCTGATCGCTGGCCGTGGTGTTACCCTACAGTACGTATCCGAGATGGAGTAGTACAGTTGCACACCAATTATATAATGGCGTTAATAAGAAAACACAGCCATGAAAAGTACTAGGAGGAAACAATAATACAAACACTATTGTAGGGTCAAAGGTGACTGGACTTCATAGAAGTGTTCGTCTAAGCCTCTCTGACCATTCTGTTTAACATGATGTTTAACAAGACGAGACTAATTCCTCGTGTTTCTGTTCTCCACCTCGTTTGCAGTCCTAACTGAATTCCTGCAATCTCCACTCCTTTCAAATCTAAACAATACAAGAGCAATGGCTGGGATTGGCTATCGATGATACACAATAACCTATCTCTCTGTCCCCAGCCCAGTCCAGGTGTAGAAGATGTGTCCTCTGTGCTCTGGGAGTCACAGTGTGCGTGTTACTGGCCACCGTCGCTGCCCTGGGGGCTATCTGTAAGTCCAGAGGTCCCTTGTGTCTGTTTATGAGTGTAATCAATCTATTTCGACCTGGAATTGCAGAAAACAAAGAAGTAATATGTTACGTATGAATATGAAAGCACAAAATATTAAAATAAAATCATTTTCTAATTCTCCTGCTTGACTGTGTGTTTGCCAGTAATAGACAGTAAGGCTAATAGGCGTTAGTACTGTTCTTACAGTAGACACTAATGCTACAGTATATGTTTTGGAGAAACTTTTAATCTGACAAGACGGAACCGCCAGACACTGCTGTCCCGGGAAACCGAAATATTAATGATATTTCACAGTACGACAATACTTTTTAATAATGCATGTGTTCCGAAATTGTGGATATGAGCAACTCCAGGGGCAGCGCTCCGATCTACTGCCCCTTTATGCAATGCAACATAGCAACGTCAACCTTCCTGAGGAGTGTCTGAGTGCGTGACCGATGACAGAGAGATAGGATGATCTTTTGCGGAAATGCAAGTTCTTCTGCTGAATGAATTGGTTTGCGGTCTGCAGTGTGGAGTAGCCAAGCAGACTGGGATCGCAGACTGGGGGAGAAGGAGAAGGAGCTGGAGAGATACAGGGGCCAAAGGAAGATACACTGGAATGAAACGGAGAGGCAGGAGATGGAATGTGCCAGACACAAGAACGCCCTTGAGTCTTCGTTCTGTCTGGACGTGGTCTCCTGGAAGAGAAGTAAGTGCATAAAATCTGGGACTCTATGAGATGTGGAAAAGTACCATTTCTATTATCATACATAGAGCTGGATATTTGTGGTTATAATGACTGAAACTACCAAGGCCAAGCTGGGAAATCCAAGATCTTTTTAAACAGATAAAACGTTTTGTTCTGGTAACAAAGTTCAGCTATTTCTTTGGACATCATACCAGACACCTGCCTAATCCTGCAGGCCCTTAATTGCATTACCAGATTGTTCTTTGAGAAGGCAGCAGGAGGAATGAAAACAAACACGGACCCTCCTGCAGACAGACATCTGATGTTGATGTGTTCCACAGTGATGAAAAACAGCTAGAGCACAGTAATTTACATGAGCACATCTCAAACCAAGTGGTGGGAGCTATGGAAGCAAAGTGTATCATGCTGGTGGTGTGATAATGAGTTAGACACAAGCCTGTGACAATTGTACAGTTGAGAAATAGAGAAGAAGCTGTACAAAGTGTCCAGATGATGCTCAGTCAGTATTAATCCAGCAGGATTTCCTGTGTCTCTGTCTGAGTCAGCCTGTACAGAGGAGAGTCCTGAGGAATCCCTGAGGCTCAGTCAGAATTAATCTGGGTGATTTCCTGTGTGTCTGTCTGTACAGAGGAGAGTCCTGAGGAATCCCTGAGGCTCAGTCAGTATTAATCCAGGTGATTTCCTGTGTGTCTGTCTGTACAGAGGAGAGTCCTGAGGAATCCCTGAGGCTCAGTCAGTATTAATCCGGGTGATTTCCTGTGTGTCTGTCTGTACAGAGCAGCAGTGCTGTCCAGAGGGATGGAAGGGGGGAGACAGTGGAAGATGTTACTACATTTCCAGTGACCGGAGAGCCTGGGAGTCTGCAAAACAGTTCTGTTCATCAGTAGGAGCTCAGCTGGTGGTGATTGAGAACAAGAAAGAGATGGTGAGCACAACACACTGATCACACAGAGAGAGAACCCAGAGAGACTAGCACAGTCCCAGATCTGTTGACCTGTTAACTTGATGAGTGTTGGTGTCCCTGCTGAGCTGAGCTGACCTGCTCTGCGTGTCTCTGCAGGAGCTCCTGAAGACTCTGATACTTAGCTATGACTACTGGACGGGCTTGAGGAGGAAGGATGGTGGTGGTTGGAGTTGGGTGGAGGGTGGAGCTCTTGACACAACAGTGTAAGTGTGAGTCTGTATGATTGGGGGGGGGGGGGATTTCAATGAGACAGAGATCAGGTATGCTAAGGACAGCTCATCATCCTCATCAAACTAAGGCTGCTGCTGGAAGAGGTGTGAGTGGGGCCAGCAGGGGGCGCTCACCCTGCGGTCCATGTGGGTCCTAATGCCCCAGCATAGTGACGGGGACACTATACTGTAAACAGGCGCCGTCCTTCGGATGAGACGTAAAACTGAGGTCCTGACTCTCTGTGGTCATTAAAAATCCCAGGGTGTTTCTCGAGAAGAGTAGGGGTGTAACCCCGGCGTCCTGGCCAAATTTCCCATTGGCCCTCACCAATCATGGGCTCCTAATAATCCCCCTCTATGAATTGGCTTCATTACTCTGCTCTCCTCCCCACTAATAGCTGGTGTGTGGTGAGCGTTCTGGCACACTATGGCTGCCGTCGCATCATCCAGGTGGAGGCTGCACACTGGTGGTGGTGGAGGGGATCCCCATTACCTGTAAAGCGCTTTGAGTGGAGTGTCCAGAAAAGCGCTATATAAGTGTAAGAATTATTATTATTATTATTATCAAGTGAAGTGTGATTGCCTCAGTGACTCCTTCTCTCTCACAGGGGTACAGTTAGTGCCGGTCGCATTCCTGGGGACTGTGTCTCTGTATTCCGGTCCCGAGATGGGATTTCTTTGTCTGCGGCTGTCTGTAGTACACCGCTCCACTGGATCTGTGAGGGGGGGGCTGCCGGAGTCTGGCAGCCTCCCTGGTCTGCGCTCAAGAGCTGAGATGTGGGCAAGAGACAGACGGACAGAGACTCGCAGAGACCAGAAATCATTTCTGTTTATTTCTGTCCCTTAAATATCCTCATGCTTACGCATACTGTTCTGCTCAATAAACTCTAAAGTACTGAAAGGCATCTGACTTTGTTTATGACTTGTTTCTGTGCTTGAAAGCTTCAGAGGTATTTCAATTCCTTACTGTGCCGTTGCTGCCCCCTGGTGGTTATGAGCGTGTCGTGCTGCTCTGGGGGAGCTGGTGGCCAAGATTTTTCAAGCTGAATGGAAATCAGAAGATAAAGGTGGAGAGAGACAAACACAAGTGTAATCCGGCTAGTTTAGGAGCGATCAGCATCAGCAGGGTCACACTGAAACACCCACAGAGACACCCTGTAACATCATTCAGTCCATATTCCCTCTGGCCTCCAAACCAATGACCCAGTGTGGTGACCAGGGGCACTGTACTGTAGGAGGTGCTGTTTTGCAGATGAGAACCAAGATTCTGATTATTTGGTCATCAATTATAGCACTTGTCTCATAGAGTAGGGAGCTGTCCTGGCTAAATTGCTCCCTGGGCTTGTACTGTGCATTGCTCTTTAATGTTGAATGTGCAAAACCTTGCCTGGTTGCACAGGGAGTTGCAGTGTGCAAACTACATGCACCTAATACACATGGTGTACAGCTTTGTAGAGAGTATGTTATATTCGATATTATTAATGCCCAGAGAAATGCATAGTGACGATGGAGCTGCAGACCCCAGGTCATGCCTCACAGATGATGCTCTGAGCTGTGGTCTGGTGCAGCTCTCTTCTTGGCTGACACAGGAAAGGACCACACGCCCGAGCCCCTGAGGTCGCATCTGAGCTGCGGGGTTATTTCTGTACATGCGGTCACTCCCCGAGCCCGTTGCCACGGCGACGCTTCATCCGCCCCTCACAGGTTCCAGTCGTGTAGGTGTCTGTGGGTTAGCGACCGGACGTACACAAGCAGAAGACTGGAAACAACAAAGTGTGCTTGCAGAGACCATGCAGAGAACAGCCAGCAAGAACAAAAGGGGAAAGTGTTCTAACATTCAAATGAAGTATAAGGCAAGAGAGAGAGAGCAGGAGCCATGTCTGCACAGAGAGAGGTGGGTGAATGGAACAGCCTGCCAGGATGGTTGACTGTCCTCTTTCTAAATTCTCCAGCTCAGCTGCCACCTGCCTGAATAATTGAAGGGCTTATGGATACACTTTCGAAAGCCTTCTTTCTTCACAGGAGGATGGATCTGAAGATGATGTTAATAACTTTATGATGTAAAAATAACTTACTGTTGGGCAACCTGCCCAATTGCTTTCTGCTGATTTAATGGATGATGAGAACTGTGCTCACCTCACGGAGAAAACCTATCAGCTGGTAAACAAGGTTCAGTTGTTTAGTGAACAGAATTGCTTCAAAAGCAAATTTGTGAATCAGACCTGTTTTTCACAACAAATGATCATTTTACTCAATGAACTGCAGGTTATAGCTCTGTGCTCATTTGCACTCTTTGCTTTAAACCTCCAAACTTAAAGGATATTTTGAATATTTTAAGAATGAGAAGCAACCCATCCAGGGTATAGTTTTATCTTGTGACTGGCTTTGTGATCAATCTGTGCTCTGTCCCTCACTGAGAATAACCCGGCTAAGATGCTGTTTGCTATCAACTCAAGAAAGGATTTTGGAGTTCTAGAAAATGGCAGCGAAATGTTAATGAAACAATGGACCATTTAAGCGACAGAAGATAGGGATGTGGTGCCTGATGAAACTGTGATCTGTGATGAAAATGTTACAGCAGTAGAAGCACTTGATAGACAATATGGAAAATTCCCACACAGCAATTTATTATAGATCTGGAAGTTACAAAGATTCTCCAATTCATCGACTGTGGAGTTTTGTAAGTGGAGAGGATGTTTGATAGTGGGATGTCTTAACATGACAGGAAGACAGACGTCTGTCAGTATGAAAATGAGGCACTGTGATGAGCCCAGGCCACTGTCTTTGGCTATCACAGTACCCAGCAGAGTTGGGCACTCATGTGCAGTAAGTGTGTGTGTCCTAGTGCTGCAGTCGTGTCTTATGGTGCAGAAATGTAAAACACAATGCGCGTATAGTCCCATTCTGTTTCACACACTCCCTAAATTCCTGCCTTCTTCCCTGGGAAGAGTCCAGAGCTCCTCACACTCGGATGGGCGGTCGCTCACAGATCCACCGCACATCTGTTGAGCAGGAAGATGAGAAGAGGGTGACATTGTCGCGACTCCAGGATCCACCAGCACAATCCCCACCTTTTCCAGTCACACTCACTTCGCTTCTGTGGGAGAGCAAGAGAGTGGAGTCACGTGGAGGGCACGATCACTCAGTGTGCTTCGGTTTAACCATAATAACATGATTATTATCTCGAACAGCACACATGAAGATAACACTGGGCCTGCAAACTTACACTGCTGTCTCCAGAGCTCTGCCATCAACCCATCTCCATTCTGAACTGCTGTCACTTCTATTCAGGCCAATCCAGTAGAAGTAATTGTCTTTTACAAGAGCTTCTAGGCTCTTCTGCAGAGAGATAGAGCGAGTTACCCAAGAACAACCATTTCTCTCCGATCCATGTCTTGTCCCCTGTCTGCATGTGAGCGTGTGATTCCTTGCACAGGTTAGTGTCGGTCAGGTACTCAGTAGTTATTAGTATGTTAGTGTATCTGTCCCTATCAGTGTCAGTGAAAGTATGTAATTCTCAACAGCTCCTCTGTGTCTCGGGTCAGGAAGAGTCGTGTGTCTGTGATTGCTGGTGTGCCAGGTTTGTCTCAGTCTCACTGTGTGTGCGGTCTCTGTGTCACCTCACCATCTCAGCTTGGTCCTGGATGGCCAGGAGATCAGTGCCCAGCTCAGAACAGGCCTGACGAGCTGAGCTCCAGGGCTTCTGTTCAGGGGAGATAAAGTAACAGTTTCCTCTGGAGCCCTTCACCCACCCGCTGGGACAGAATTCACACAGCTGCCCTGTACACACACACACAAAGAGCCAAGCAGAGATATGAGTTTGACCACAGGTTCAATTCCATAAACAACTTTTCACGTTTTTAGAAACTCCAGATGGGCTGAGGGATCTCTTCAGTCTTGGGGAGAGTAGCCCACTAGGTGACTGGAGCAAGTGATGGCCCTACAGCTGAAGCCAAGCCAGAGGATGATTTCAAGACCGGCAGTCGAACGATGTCCTAAGCACAAATGGGCAAACTAGAGGGATGTGCATATAGGATTGAACAAAGCTCCACCATTGTTGTTGGAACTAATTCCCCAGGATCCTTCAAGAAACATGCATTAAACAAGAAGAAGAGGAGCAAGACTGCCTGAATGGTCATGTGTGGAGTTTCTTATGGTCTTGTCAATTCGCAGATGTACACGGAGAGACATGACGCTTGAAAAGCAGGTAACGGTGGGTCTCCAGGGGCTCAATCAGTAAAGGAACTTGGTCGCCAAGAGCGGCTGAGCTTTGTGATACATGTCACAGGTCTGAACCTGGGCTCGTGTCGTCAAGCGAGTGTGACCAGGGTTCCCCAAGTGGTGTGCACACTTGATGTGCCCTGAGGACTAGTCCACAGGGGCCCTCCCGGCACCACAAGTGAAACAGCGACCCATGCAGCTTGCCCAGGGCACATGAAGCCTGGCGCTGACATCAGGGGAATGTGTGTTTCTCCTCCGAACGGCAGCAGCATCTTGTGGAGGTGAAGGGCGTGAACTGTGTACAGGGCACAGGACAGGGGCCCCCAAGCACTTCCTCTATCCCCCCAGAAGGGCAAAAACGCCGTTGCGATGGGGTGACGTGTAAGAACACACAGCTGGCGGATCCAGGTTGGGTGGAAATGTAACACAGATCAGTGCTGATTCTGCTTGGTTTGTGACCATGAGCTGCGCGGTGTTACCTGTGTGCTCAGGCTTGTCACTCCCACACAGAGACTCTCTGAGTCTCACCAGCGCCTTCTCTTCACAGTTGGTCTTCCACACTGCAGATCGCACACCAGAGTTAGTCGGGTTTACAGTCACTCCCACAAGGACTTCCATTTCAAGTAACAACTGGTCACAAGGATTTATGGGAGTGAATGTTATTTAGCTGTGAAAAGCACAACCATCTAAAGAGATTTCCAGTGATGCTTTTGCACATACCGTATGTTATAAAGTCCAATTCATCAGCTCTGGTGAACTGGTTTGCCTCAGGGCTCATCGGCGTTTCATTGCTGTACTCTGATCACCAAGAGGTCTGACCCATTTAAAACGAGTTAGATGCAGCACAGTCAATTTCCTTTTTTATACATACACTGTAAATTAGATATGTGTGTGTACTTACAGGCAATGCCCATCGGAAGGACTGTGACCACAAAGACACAAGTCACGACTCCCAGGAAGATGAGGACCCAGCTCTTGCGGCTGGAGTGAACTGCAGAAAGGAAGAGGAAGTCAGGTCAGCACATGCTATGCACAGTGCCTGCCTGGATACTGACAGTGCTCTGAGCTAGCAGAGAGTCCCTCTAGCATTATTTTAACACTGTTGCTGAGGAACAGGAACAGGATTTGGAAGCAGCGAAGGTGTGATTGACATCTGGCAGCCTCTCCTGACAGCAGGGCTCTGCAGACGTCCTGTGAGAGAGCAGACTTCTCACTCTGAGATGAGCTGGCAGCAAAGCTGAGCGCTGCCACGTGACAACGGTGTTTTATGCCGAGAAGAGAGTGGGGTTGTGCTGAAATAAGCTTAAACACGAGAGAACACTCACTGAGTAATGCCCAGAGGAAAAAAGATAAACTCAGGCAGGGATCACTGTTATACAGGCAGGTGACATAATACTGCATACCTGTACTTTTGCTCCTGTGATATTATTATAATTCAACAAAATCTGTATATTTTATTGAGACGTGGTTTGCACACACATTGATGTTGCATGTATGATCAATACTCGATGATTGGAATTCTGTGAAATTGGCTTACAGATCATGTGACTTCCTGATACTTTAGGATTATAATGAAATAACACTAAATACAGTAGATTTAGTATGGACCCCAGTTTTCTTAAATTAGAGGCATGTGCTCATATAAAGCAGAGCTTGCATCTCCAATAATGCCCTGACAAGAGCCGAACGTACAGCACGTGCAAAACAAAAGCACGTGCACTGCAAACTGCTGCTGGGAAGAGAAGAGCAACTACAGCAGGGCTTTGCCGTGTGAGACGCGGTCATACCCGGAGCACAGCACTGCTGCCCACAGAGCGTCATGCCTCCAGCCTCCTCCCACCTCTGTGCTCTGCTGCTTTATGTACCCTTGTTCACCCTGCGGACTTCCTCAACATTAACAGCGAGGCAGGAAGCAGGGCTACAAACAGGCTGGCTTCCAGTTAGTGTCGTATCAACAGGGAATACTGACCTACCAGTTTTCCTTAAACCTTCCCAACTGACCCAATTCTGTAGCAAAAGATTGTCAGCAGCTTTTTGCAAGAATCTCTTGCCTGCTGTTGGAATAAATTAAGGCCTTGAAGCCAGACTCTTCTCTCTCTCCCCCTCCAGCTTCATCACTGTAGTAAACCCACACAGACTACTCTCCTGTTACTGAGAGATACAAGGTCTTAAGAGATACCTTACTGCCGTTTACTTCCACTCTTTATGAGAGATGAGCTAGAAAAATGTAGGAACATTTTGTTCATCTCACAAATATTTCCACCACAGAATATTGTTAATATAGAATAAAATAATATTGGTGTTGAAATCTGGAATTATACTGTACATAAATATGAACCCGTGTAGATTCTGTATTAAAGTAAAGCCGAAATACATCAGTGTTACAGTGCAGCAGACAGACAGTATCACAGTGTTCCAGTGCAGCAGACAGACAGTATCACAGTGTT